TTTTAAATAGTTTTTGAATTGAAATTGAGAGATTTAACCTCCTCTGAGTGTTTAACGACGAAAATATAGTAAACACTGCATATACCACATTGTAGCAGAATCAAACAAGTGTTAATGAACCATCTGAAACGAAATTCGCTCCAGTTACTGAATCCCCAAAAGTAAATAGAGAAGATGTGTTACCTTGCCACAAATTTGTATTTCGCTAAAGTTTTGTGACTAGCAAATGCCTCCTGTCCAAGCTGCCCGTAGCCCAGCGGCCCACATTTATTCCTCAAGAGTCTTGCTAATAAACCTTACAATTTTTATCATAGCATTACCTGTCACACAAAAATTGTGCGCTTTTTACGAGTTTCATCATACAAATAGCCGATATTGTACCGAGCAAGAAGTCAACTCCAAAAGCAGTCTAAATTCGTGCGACGTTTAGGATTTCACGGCACATTCATGCTAAATATACCCAAAGACCAGCTTGTTTGAAAGCGAGGGGCAAACTAAAGCATTCGAGGCCAACCATACCCTTAAGAATATTGATGAGAGCAAATGTCGTGCTGAAATGTATCTATTGCTAAAGTTAGCGGGAAATTAGTCCTGATAGTGAAGCAATCCGTAACTTACGAGATTTTCTTGGCTTTCTGATGCTTCGTGTTCAGCTCCTGCGGTGGTTCTGCTCTATCTACAATTTCAAAATTTTCAAGTAATGGTTGATCGACGTCCACAACCCCAGCAGAGCAGGGCATTTTGTGTTGCTGAGTCCTGCAGAGAAATGAGAAGAATCTACAAAGATTCAAAAATCCCAGGTGTTCTTTTATAGCTTACCTCTACAAGATCCTGTGACAATTATACTGATTAGAACCAGACATCAGCCTAAAGATTTGTCGCCTGCCATATGACGAATATTGCCTAATGCAAAACGCAAATGAAAAAAAAACTGTAGGAAATAAGAGTAAAAAAAAAGAAGGTAAACATATATTCATGAGCTAATCATAACTCTCTTGAGTATATATTCATGTATTCTAACACTATCCAATTAGAAAGAAGAACCGTAACCAAACGGTTCAAGGGAGACACGTGGAAGTTTTTCATGGAAACTAGGCTGCACAGTACGGCGATTAAGTCAGGACTTAATCAAGCTTCCTGTATAAATGCGAAATATCAACAATATCCATCTCTATGTTATGTAATTTCTTCATTTCTATATCAAACAATCTTTGCGTTTTCTTCTGATAAACGCACATCCAGCCTTTGTTACAACGTTTGGAATTCAAAGTATTCTTTCGAAACACGATAATGCATCACTTATTCCTTGAAGTTTCAATGCGAGGATTGAGTGTCTCTTG